AACTGCTGTTCTGGTAAGCCCTTATATCATCTCATGTTCTCTAGGCTTGTACTGGGCTTGCTCCATTGGTATTACTGTTTTTAAAAATCTGCTTAAATCAAGCACACTGCTTCCTCTTGTATGATGTGGGTATGACTGATGCTCTGTTATTATAGTTGATACTTCATGATTTTCAGCTATTCTTAACTACCTAAAGTTTAGCTCAGCAGGAATATAAGTCATTTTCTTTGTTTCACAAGATGTTAACTCGGTTCTTTTCGCCCACATTAACTACTTGTTTCTTATGTTTTCTAACATGTCTTAACCAGAGACCAATTGTTTTTTAGTACCATGTTTAGAGAGTGCTTGCCAGGTTGTCTTCATACTGTCCTTTTTTATTTTATATATATATATATATATATATATATATATATTTAGGGCTTATAAAAAGGCAAATTATCCTCAGATGTTTTAAGTTTTCATAATAATTACCTGATTTTAGTTTGTTCTGGCCCATGTTGAACAGAGTACCTGTGCATTAGTTCTGTGTTTGCACAGATATTCTAGAAAGAGATTAAGTGAAGCAGGCAGGACTACATTTTCAAAAAATGAACTTCTTTTGGGCTGTCTTTTCCCTTTTTGAAATCTGCGTTCCTAAGGTAACTGTGTTTAAGCATCCCAGCACTTGTGTAATCTAAATCAATAATTATTGTTGAAAATATAAGTCGCAACACTGAAGTTTCTGGTCCAGGTCCCATATCAACCCATTCATAGAACAGTGAGCTCCTGATTCCTATGCTTCTTATTCCTTCTCTTCCATTTTGTCATTAAGTTTAAGAAATGTATATTTCATAAAATACACTGCTTCTCACTTCATAATACCTGAATGTTCCTGTCATCAAGTAATTAAAATAACAAACACTTTGTGAAACAACAGGTAGGCAGAGTGGATAGAAATAGTATTACCTTACTTGTAGCAGCGAAGCCTGTAAATAATTAAACAATTACTGTCACTGTCAGGTTATTTTTTCAAGGTTGTGGTGTTGGTTGGTCAGTGCTTTGAGGTGAAGAAATAGCAATGGAATGGGACTACAGAGCTAATAACAGGACTGATTTGTACACAGTGTGAATGAAAACAGCCTTTTTGAATCTCCTTTAGTGATACCTGCACAATTGCATAATGACTTGGGAATAAACTTTTCTTAATGTTTAACTGCCTATTAAGTAAGCTCAGAAGCTAGCTGTATAGATGAAAAATATAAAATATCCCAACTGAATACAAATATTATATAACAGCAACTAATCTGCATATTAATTAGAGGTAGAGAAATGGCAGAGTTAGGCTTGAAATGTAGTCGATGATGTGAGTCTGCTCCAAATGATACTTGGCAGGGGATGATTGTTCTAGTTATGTTTTAATTAAGAAATAATATGGGTGAAAGATTTTAGTGGAGTTAAATAAGTGATATAAATGCAGAAATACAACTGTACAATTGTATTACAGACTTTAATACCTTCAGCGAATCAAATATTGAATAGATCTGTTACATCTTACTGCTCTATTCTATTGACAACCAAAAGTCAATATAGCAAAAAGAACTCTGTGGTATTTGTATTTTGAAAATACAAAAGCTAGTTTTCAACCAAGTGAATTGTCTACTAGGAAATTTTATTCATATAATTATGAATAATCATGTAATTAAAATTCAGTTTGTTATCTTGACAAAAGGTTGGGGGCTAAGTAAGGAGTATGTAAACAGCAGCAGAATTTCCCAACTTTGATACTTAAAAGTTCACTACCATAAAACAAAGTTTTGCATTCAGCTCTTTGTTTAATGATCATTAGTTCTGTGACTTCCTATACCAAAATCTATGACTATGAATGTTTTTAGCAAGGTGTGCATCCCTGACATTTTAAATAGGGGTTCTGGGTGCAAAAATCAAGGGCTGTAGTTTCATCCTTGCTCTGGCAATGACTTCTCTGATGACTGAGTCACTTAATCACCATCTCAGTTTCTTATCTGAGGGGAAGAAATAATTGCATTTCCTTTACTATGAAAACCACATCAATAGCATCTTAGAATGGTTTCGGTTGGAAGGGACCTTAAAGATCATCTAGTTCCAAGCTCCTTGCACAAGCAGGGACATGTCCCACTACACCAAGGTGCTCAAGGCCCATTCAACCTGGTTTTGAACACTTCCAGGGATGGGGCAGCCACAGCTCCTCTGGGCAACCTGTTCCAGTGTCTCACAACTCTCACAGTAAAGAATTTCTTCCTTATATCTAACCTGAACTTCCTCTGTTTAAACCCATTTCCCCTTGTCCTGTTGCTACAGTCCCTGATGAAGAGTCCCTATCTGGCATCCCTATAGCCCACTTTCAGATACTGGAAGGCTGCTATGAGGTCTTCATGCAGGCTTCTCTTCGCCAGGCCTTGTATGAAAGCCCTCTGTGTTATGCTAAGGACCTTGCAATAAAATCTGGCATGTAGAGTTTACAATATGAAAGACAAGCTCTAACAGTTACAAAAGGCAGACAGAATGGTGGGAAGAGAGAAACAAATGCCATGTCAGTAGCTGTCAGGGCATTGTGGAGCGTAGGTGCTCTCTGCAGGCTGGGGATGGTGAGGCTGGCTGGGAGCCTTGTCCCACTGCCCCAGCTAAGGGGATAAGGACAAGAGTCAGGCCCAGTCAGGGGAACCAGCCACATGTTGGCTGAGCTTCTGGGTCCCAGCTCTGCAGGACCTGTGGCTGGTAGGACAGGGCTGTGGGGAGCTGGTGGCCCTGGGCTTAGCTTAAATGGCATCCTGGGCAACAGGCAGGGTATGGGGAGACTGGTGAGAGCAGTGAGCGTCAGTGAGGCCTGTAGGTGCCCTCAGGGCCTTAGAGATGTGTCTAGGAAAAATCTAGGTTAGTTTTCTCCTTCCTTGTTTATATTTGAAACACTGATGATGGTCAAGGAAATTTTTTGGGGCTGATCTGAATAGCCCCATGAAATGGGTCACAAATTATCCCTATTTAAGCATTACTCTCCTGGAAACATCACTGTTCTAAGTATTGAGCTCGTTTCTTTAAGTGTGCCATGCAGTACTCATCTTTCGATGCTGAGTGAAAAACATCTGATTCACTGTAGCTAAATTTGCCAGGGAATGAGGTCCAGTTATGCAAATACAAAGTAGCTGTTATCTTCTGTCTGGTTATTTGCTTAGGAAGTACTGAATTACTGTTGCAACTCTGAATAATTTGTTGCTGTTGATATAGCCACATCATGCGCTGTGCTGTAATTGCTAGAGCCCACATAGAGTCTATCAGAGAATAATCTGATAAGCTAATTGAGTTGCAGTACTGAGATTCTCTAAAAACAACTGTTGGTCTCCATGTTACATCTTTAGTGCTACTCTGCTATCTCTTGCTGACAGATTCAGTGTGACTGCTGTATTAGTTCAATACTGCTCTTGGGAAATGCCCTTACGTTTATGTCCATCTGCGTCCTCTAGACAGTCTCGCAGCTATGTGTTTTGACCTTGATGTTAGTAACAGTCACTGAACCTGTGTTAAACATCCATCGCTTGTATAATGGATATCTCAAAGGGAATTAATGGCAATTAATTTCCTGCTTAGTGGCTTATAGGCAAATAATCTATAAACAAGATGTTTCAAGCTGTTGGTCCACAGAGTGCTTGAAGCACTAATGTAAATCTGTGGGTGCAGTTCAAGTGCTTAGTATTTGCCTCAGCACCAAATTTTGCTGCCTCCCCTATGCTTGTTTAGCATAACTCATCAAGTATTCAGGAAGTCATTACTGTTATGCTGTTACTGAAGGCATGGTTATGGCACAGTCCGATACTTATGATACGTTTTAAACACTGTACAATCTGGGCTGGCTTTTCCTATCAGTTCCAGTGACTTTTTTTGTGCAGCATCCATGACTGTAGGACATGGCAGGCAGTTAGAGAGCACAACATCCTTGCTGCAGCGTCCGTGCGAGACTGATGTGAATTCCAGTGCATGTGACTCATCAGTTAGCTTAGTGCAGCTGAGGTTCCTTTTTAATTTCCAGCTCTCCATTCTACAAGAGTCACTTACTGACAGAAGAATTCCTGTGATATATTAAGCACTTTCATTGAAACATTGGCTCACGGATAGTGTGGAAGCTCCCTGCAGATTCTCTATGATGTATTTTGTTCCCTTTACACTCGATAATTATTGTCTTGTTACATCGTACTTCTCAGTGAAGGTTTGCTCAGATAATTAATTCTAGTGATAGTAAATTAAAGTTGTACATAGATTATGTTGATACCTAGTATGACTTGGTTTGAACTAACACATTAAAAGGTCCTTTAGTGTATGTGTGAAAAACTCATTTATATGTAGCTCTAAAATTGCATACATAGCTCTTGCATACATAGGGACTGTATACACAGGGATTGCATACATAGGGACTATAGTGATAAGACAAGGGATAACAGGTTCAAATTTAAACAGGGAAAGTTTAGGTTAGATATAATGAAGAAGTTCATTACTGTGAGGGTGGTGAGGCACTGTAACAGATTGCCCAAGGAAGCTGTGCATGCTCCATACCTGGCAGTGTTCAAGGCCAAGTTAGACAGAGCCTTGGGTGACATGGTTTAGTGTGAGGTGTCCCTGCCCATGGCAGGGGGGTTGGAACACGTTGACCTTAAGGTCCTTTCCAACCCTAACTATTCTATGATTCTGTGATTCTCTTAGCAAATATGCTCCTTATATGGAGGAAGAGTATAGCATATTTGATGCAAATATGTATTTTTAAGATATAATGTTAAGAAGAGTATTATTATCTAGTAGTCAGTATGGAACCTGATAGAACATTTCTGTTTCTGTGATTTCTAAAGAAATGTGGCTAAGTAGGTGCTTAATTTCACCTAGCAGTAATCCAGGAAGTCTGATTTGCTTTTTTTCAGAGTATTTGATAACCACAGCTGTACACTGACTTTCACTGTCAAATTGCTTAAAATTAACTAACCCAAATACTTACTTTGCAGGAGGCGCAGAAGATCAATGGTGGTGGAGATACACAGGCAGATGGAACCTGCAAACCAACAGATGAAAAAGAGGAGAATGTGGCAGCAGAAGTGGGTTGGATGACTTCCGTGAAGGATTGGGCAGGAGTCATGATATCTGCCCAGACATTAACTGGCAGAGTACTTGTAAGTTTTCTATGATTTTTTTCTACATTCTTATTTTAAAGAACTTCTTTTTAACAAACATTATATCCAGCAGATACGGATTGGTTTGATTTTTGATTGCTTTGTTGCCTCAGTGCTAGGTCAATCCCAATTTTCTCTTTTGAAAGTAAAATAGCAGATTAATTCTCACTGCAGGAGAGAAGCAGAGACAGCAAGTAAGAAAAACTGACTTTCAGCCCAATCCCCAAACTATTTCAGTATTCTGGCACCATGATTTTGAGCTGTGCTACAAACACTGAGTTTAGTAATTTCATATCATGTCGCAAAAGCATAGGCCTATTTTGTCCAGAAGCAAAATTGTGCTAGCAAAAATGGAAGCCAACTTGGAAAATAGGCACAGTGTTTGGAATGTAGGTAGGTGTTAGAACTGTAAAATGAAGACAAGCTAGAATTGGCTATGCAGTGGGATTTGTGGTACTTTCAATAGATTAGTAATGATTTTATGTTCTCTTTATTTTTTCATAAATAACTTAGGTAGTCCTTCAAACATGTGAACAGTTATGTAGTAAATAGAGTCAGAAATTGCATATTGATAATATGTGGTTTAAATTTCCACTGAAAAAACTTTATAGTTTTCACTTAATTTGAATATGAATATTTTATAGCATTGTCAAATCATACTTAATTGTCAAGTGTTTTCTCTGGAGTTCACTGCATTAAATGGTACCTCCTGTGTGGTTTTGATTAGTTTCCTTGTTAGAATGCATGTACTTACAAACTAACAGCTAAAGTGATTTAAATCCAATTTAAAACGCCTAAGAATCCCAGTCGGACTTTGAAACTAGTTTGAGTTAAACTGAAAGCAGAATTTTTGTCCTTGATTGTTTGCTTTGGTGAGGAGATGTTTTAGTGTTAGTCATTTCTGGTCTATGCAGTAATTACTTGGGCAGGGGGAGGCAAAGGAGGGAAAACAAAACAATATGCACCTCCCAGTCTAGTCTTTTACAGTGAAAAGTTGAGGTGAACAATTGTTACTGTCTAGTTTAATTCTGTGAGTATATTATTTTGATAATTTTTTTTTCTAAAAATACCTTTTGCCCATTTCCTAATGTTAAATGTTGTTTTATCAATAGCTTGAAAGCGTGCTCCATTGTTACAACTGTATGACTTCTAAGTGAAACTGACATATTCATCTTATGAAAAGCAACATACTGATCTTTTGCCTGTTTTCCTGACATCTTCAGCACTAAAATGACAAATCTTAAAGCCACACTTCTTATTCCAATTTAAGGTATGAAGGCTAGAAATCACCCAAACCCATAGTCCTATGCTACCAGCTTTACAATCAGAAATTGGCCTGTGTTGTTTTTACTAAGTTGTATGTGAGCCCAAATGCAAACAATCAAGCTCAAATCCCAAAATATTGAAGACATTTTACTGTGTATGGTACTGGGAGAACATACACAATTCCATTTGATGATCTGGTTGTTACTTTTGGGTGTGTTTTTTGTTGTTTAGGTTCGTTGGTTGGTTGGTTTTTGTTGTGTTTTTTTTTTTTTTTCCTTACAATTTACACTTGCATCTTATAAGGGACTATTTTTTTCCAGAGTTTTTGTAGAGATCTGGCCAACATCATCTGTCAGATTATTTCTGAGAGTATATTTATATTTTTTTCAAGGTATAATAGCAGGTATTGTACACATCTAGGCTCATTAGATCTGAGAAATAAGTAGTGTATGCAGTCAGTTAATTTTATTCAGTTTAGAAAAGGAGGTGCATTTATTTTAATATAGCACTCATCAGTTTCAGGGTTTGAATTGATAGGGTGTAATTTTTGGAGGACCATTTCCACTGTGAAGCTTGACTGTTCATGTTAATTTTATTTATGGTTATATTTGCTAAAGGATAACTGCTTCAATCAATATTTGGCTACAGCAAATATTCACATAATTTGAAGATATAAAATGTAGCTAAGTAATATTTTTGTCAAAATATGTTTTTTGAAAATACTATGACTTACTCATGAATTCCTACTAATGTAACACAGCTATTCCTGCCAGCTATTAGATTTCTGAATCAATGTTGAGATTTTATTATTATTTTTTTTTTCCTTTCCATGAAGAAGAATGAACTGGTGGCTTTAGAGTGTGAGATACCTGCAGCTAAAGAAATGATAGTTATTTACACTCTGAGAATTTAAAATAAAATCGATCTTATACATCCAATGTTTACAAAAGAAGTTTTAAAAGTGGTGCACTGAAAATGGTGAACTCTTGGGAAAAGAGTTGTAATTGACCTTCATTTCAGCATAGTTACCTGAAGGCTTTTGTGTAACTGCTGCCTGGGTTTATTTGACAAGTGCAAGAGACAAATTACCTAAGTGTTGAGCAGATACCAGTGTAAAGGAGAATTTTATTTGTGTTTTCTGCTCATTGAAAAAACCTCTCATTATTTCTACCTGGACAGTAATTTGCTCCAAAGAGAATATTAGTGGAATGTCAATTGTTGTTTGTGGAACTGAAATGGAATATTTTTTTTTAGACCCCTCTCTACTGAAGTCTATCACCATATCTTTGACATGTTTGGTAAAGCCTTTATTTCTTCCCCAGTAACCTTACAAACCAAGTTCCTAATTTATCAGATCAGTTTTTCCAGATGCTTTGTGAGTGTTGGAACAGATATTTTATAAAGTTGCTGCTCCTCTGGTTACCTCTTTAGTGTTTAAACTTCATGGCTACCCACAGGTAAAGAAATTAAAAGCCAACAGTATGGAAAATACAGGACAAAATTTACAGGTCATGGTTCACATCTGTGTAGTTGTAGAACAAAATTGGACTTTTCCATTAACATAGGACCATTTGCCTGATTCTATTGTGAAATCAAACATTTTTTCTTTAGACAATAGAAGCAAATCAGTAGGCAGCCTTTAAAATGCAGACTGGAAGGCCATCTTCAACACTGTAGCTGTAGAACTAATTAAAAATGTAAAAAAAAATTTTTGTTTGTTTTTTTTGTACTTCGAGAATAATTTTGGAAAAGATATTTTTCAAATCATGTGTTTCGTTGCGTCTGCTGGAAAGAAAGGGATGTCGCTTATTATTGAAGATCTGATCATTCAACTCACTACGGATAGTGAAATTATTAAACCCATTCCCAAGAACAATAGAGGCTCTGAAATCTTTGAAACAGATGATTCCCACACTAGTTTCCTTAAAAACATTTAATTCATTGGTGGTTGTAGGGGAGGGAAGAGTTCTGTAACTGACGTAATCATCTCAGTCTCCTCTCCCATTCCATTGATAAAAGAGAAAGAATTAAGTTTAAAGTCCAAAGAGAGGAGAAATTAAAACTTTCTCAAACCTTGAAATATTTTGCTTTTGACTTCAATTAAATGTTCCCTTTCAAATAAAAATGAATCAACCAATTTAAGTCTCTGAAGCTTTCTGTAAAACTTGTGAATGATGTCTGAGCATGCCAACAGTATTTCCTGTGAGCTGTGGAAAAGAACTCCAGGCTTGTCATTTAAATTTTGGCAGTAATTTTTACATGCACATGTTAGAGCTAACTAGGTGAAGCTAGCGGTAAGGGTATTGTGCAAATTAATCCCTGTATATCGAAAAAAGTCTCACACATTTTCTATGGAAGTGATTCTGAACACTGGAACACTGGAAGAATCACCTGTCTCTGGTGGTCTTCTGTAAAACTCAACGCTTGTTTGCACCTACTCTTTCTATTATTTTTTTTTTTTTTTTAACACAGAAAAGTTAGTGCTGCCAGTTTCGGCTCCTTAGAGTATTTCTGTATTAGTTCTAACAGAGAACTCTTAGGAAGCAGATTTCCTTTTTTTTTTTTTTTTTTTTTTTTCAGTCGCTAGGAGTAATTTTAATTTGTTTCTGGGGAAGGAGCATCATGAGAAACAAGAATGGGAAATTTACTTGCTAAATAATGAAACTATTTTGAAACCAATTTTGGAAATTTTTTCAAAACATTTGACCATCACTTATTTTATCATGATGTCAGCTGAGTGTCTCATAGCATGTAATTCTTGTCTGTTAATGGCAGCACGATGAGATTGAATAGATGTTAAAGTGTCATGCACATGAAATTGTGCTAATATTGCATTCTTACTGCTTTAGGAGCTAAATCCTACACTTGCACAAAGGAATAGTCATACTAAGTTCTGTCTGAAGGGCAGGCTTTGGAGGAAGATGTTTGCAGTGTGATCCAGAATGTCATTCAGTTAGAAACCCTTTTGGTTTACTGAAGTAGGGCCAAAAAATGAGCTGGCTAGACATGGTACATACAGTTTTGTAGTCAGAATATCCTTTTCTCCATGTTCTTTAAGTTTTAAAGCACGACTGGAACTTTATGCTGTTGGTGGCACAGCATCTGAAAATGTGACATTTGCTTTTAAAGAACGTAGATGAAGATTTTACATAGTTTTAAAAAATCTGTCCATATTAAATTGCATAAGCACGATTTAAGAACATGCTAATTGAACTTACGCAGTTCTGTTTGCAGCTGATGTTGAGTAGCATAAATATGATAACAATAAAAGGAAGCACTGTACTTCAAAGTAAATCTGTATTTCCCTGAAATTAGGGAAATTAGTGGCTGTAGTACATTAATTTCTTATTATGTTATTTAATTAGAAGAGTATTTAGATTCCTTTCTTAATGTTCTTAACACTAACTACATTGAAAAAATCTGAAGATGAGGAAGGTTCTTTCTTAAACTAAGAAGTTACTGTATGTTTCCCAGTATACATCAAAAATGATGTAGAAATTTTCTGTAAGATCATTTGGTTGGAATGTATAATTGTTGCTATATTATCTTAATTTATCAAAAAAATACAGCAGTTATTATTTTTTTTTTCACAGTTCTGACTGTCCACATGTTCAAAGGCTGAAAAATGCAAGTCTTACAAATGTTTTGTCAAGATAGAACAGAGTTTTGAAGTTCGTAATAAAACCTGGAGCTAGCCTGGGACTTGTGTCCCTGCTTGACAGTTGATCTTATTTTCCAGGGTCTACACATTACAGGTTCTGAGAAATTGGTGTCAGAACTTTAGAACCATCCAGTGAATAGAGAGTGTATTAAATGTTTACTGTTGAAAGAGCTAGAGCCTTGACTTCTGAGCAACTGTTGAAAATGTTAGAAGGCCTCACTGCTCATTCAGGGAAAGATAAGAGTGACAACTTTTGTGACTCTATGAAAATATAAGCCTTGAGGTTTTCTAATCTGCCTAAAATGATCACAGTTTAAGTCCATGTGGTACTGAAAGGCAACTAATTTGTAGAAGTCTTGTTCAAACATTCTTAAGTGCAAGTCAATTATTTTTACTTAGATGAGACAGGACTTGTCCGTAAGTATGTCATAAAGAGGAGATTCATTAAAAACCTGATCAATTAAGAGTACCTTACAGGGAAAACAAATATGCATGACACAATTGTATTAAAAGTACTAGTTATTGGATATTCTTTTGCATGGCTTTGCTCATTTGTTTGGGTTTTTTTAAAAATTTGCATTAAAGTGAATTGCTTGAGAGCTGATGGAGTGTTTTGGAAAAATACAAGTAAGAAAAACAATTGGAGTTTTAAATATATAAGTAATTATAGGAGATCTTGTGAAAAAAGCAAGTGTGCTATATATACTGTGTGGTGGGATTTTTTGGGGGGGGTTTGGTTTTGATTTAATTTTTTTTCATGAAGGAGAGGATTCACATTCTTGTAATACAGAAGGGAGGAAAAAAAAACCTCCACCACCTCTTGCAAAAAGTTACAGTTGCTTAGCAGCCAAAGTGAAATTTAGCAGCACAGGAATTATGTGGGGTTTCTCCCTGCTTCCAAAGGCAGTTCTCTTATGACTTTAATGAGAGTAGGTGCTCAAAGGATAATTTGGTACACTTGACAGATATGAATTTGGAGAGGACAGGTACATTTGTTATACATACAGATTTTTTTCAGCAGTGCTCTTGACAATATCAGTTATTCTACTAGATTTGCAAATCGTCAGCAACCTTGAGTATGCAACATCTGTGAATTTGAATATGGAGTTTAACAAGCTTTCTCAAGGATAAACAGAGCTCATAAATTCTCTTTTTCTTTCCCTTGTGGGACCCTGTCATCCTGGTGATGTCTTGCAACCAAACCTCTTGTGGAATCAACCTACCTATTTCTGTTCTTAGGATGCAGTTAATCTGAATAAGACTTTATTTAGACTAAAATGTATTAATTGACAATAGAAATGGAGTGTTTTCTTCAGTCATTTAGTCTTTCATACTCAAAATATCCCAAGTCTTTTACAAATTAAACCTGGTATTGTTTTTTCAGCAGTAAAGCATGTGCATTATTGGAGAAGAGGTAGAGTACTGGTTATGACATAATTTTTCTTTTATATTTAAGGAAAGTTTAGTGTGGCCTATAAAGTTCTCTAGTGAGGCAAAAATAACTACTGCTGTATTTTCCCTTGCATTGTTCTCTAGGTTTCTGAACTAGAGAAGGGAGGCTTTCTCAGCCTCCAGGTCTGACTGCACAGGCAGGAACCACACGGGTGTTCCACGTCCTCAGTGATTTGGGTTATGTGTTTGAAAATTTTACTACTTAAATCTGTATATACCCACATCTTAAGTACTGTGTGAAGTCCTTATTTTTATAACTTGAGTGAAATAATAAAGGGCAAAAAAATGCAACAAAAGCAATAAGGATGCAAAACAGCTGCCTTAAGTGAAAAATTGCCAGAGTTCTCATTTTGGAAAAAAGGCTGGTGTGGGATATGGTCAGCATTCACACAAGAAGTTGGTGGATAATCTGTGCTGAACTTATTAGCCAGATGCAAAAAATAAGGGTGACTTATGAAAGCTGTTGGAGATCAACTTATGGGAGGTTTTGTCTTCTTTTTTTTAAGAGGATTTTTTTTTTTTTTTTACATGAGGATCAGTCAGTATCTGGATGCTTTAAATAATTTAATTTAATTTTTATACAGAGAGACTGTGTAGACCATGTCAACAGGTAAACTGCATTGGTCAAATGTGCAACAGATACCAAACAGCTGTTACGGAGTATGGAAAGGGGTAGTCTCCCAAAATACCTATTCCAAAGACTGTATGAGTAGAGTGGGCTGCAGAAAGTTACCATTCTTTCCTGTTATTCCTAAAAAGCATCTCTTATTAACATGGTCAGGGGCTTGCCTCTGTGCTAGACAGACAAACTGACTCTGAAGGTCATTTTTAATGGCTTGCAGTCATACCTTCTAATTGCTAAATCAAAAGTTGATTAGATTAATAGAGAAAGGAGACATCTGTCTAGTCTGAAGGGAGTAATGGGAAGCATCTTACCTTTAATACATAGTCTCCTCATGAATCTTATTTACCAGTATATGCATTTTCAAATCTATGTGTAACACATTGTTTTTGGTGTTTTCTTTTTTTTTCTTCCTTCCCCCCCCAATTATATATCTATGCATTTTGGATTATATATTATTACATCTGTATATAAGTTCGCCTTTCCTCACCCTGGTTAACAAAGAAGAGAAACGTAAAGACTAAGTGGCATAGTCTTCTCAAGTTAGGACATTTATATAAGACATAAAGCTGTTGACAATGTACCTTTCAGTGTGTTAATGTAACTGTTCAGACCCATTCATTGCAATTTTTCAAAGATTATAAACTGTTTGCTATTTTTTTTTATTTGCATATTGTTCATGGGGGATAGTTTGGATTTCTCTCTTCTCTATTGAGAAATGGACTCTTTAAAGTAGTTTTTAATCTTTCATAGGCCTTGGTGGCACATAAATGAATCCAAGAGATGTGTTCTAGATTGCTTTAATCTCTTGTGACAGTGATGTGGGCTATTTCCAGGGTTTCCATAGGAATGAGAACAATGCTTCTCCCTTTGAGTTCATGAGATAATGATAATGGAATAGAGTAGGAAGTGTTGGGTAAATCTTGCTGGTTTCTATGGTAACTGCAGTTAGTTTAAGTTCCATTTATGCATTTTCTTTTTCAGAATATTTATTCAGAATATCTACTATTGACAATAGCAAGGATTGTTTTGCAGAGTGGGAAGTGCCTAAAGTCCTGTGAAAAGTTCTTTTAGCGTACATGTTTCTTTAGCACTGATCTATTCAGTTCTGTGATGTAGCTGTAGCCTTTTTGGTCGTCACTACACCTTTAAGATAGCCACCTTGTGTTTGGTGAAACTGCTGTAATTTCAGTAAACCTTAAAGGAAAAAAAAGGCATAGTGGTTAAGATAATACTAATAAAAAAAGATCATTCTAATTTCTCAGTATAAGGCAATATCTAAGACCAAGAAATTACTTTATTATCAGCTATGAGATTGAGCCATTTCAAGAAAGGTGGCATCAACTTCCTTTTAGTGTTAATATATAATAATTATAGAATCATAGAATAGTTAGGGTTGGAAAGGACCTTAAGATCATCAAGTTCCAACCCCCCTGCCATGGGCAGGGGCACCTCGCCCTAAACCATATTACCCAAGGCCTCGTCCAACCTAGCCTTGAACATTGACAGGGATTGCCTGTTTGGTCTTCCATGAAGTATATGTTTAATCAAACATTAACAGTATTTTTTCTCTTCAATTTTACCAGTTTTAAATACTGCTAAGTGGAAATGTGTTGAGTGAGCATAAGATAGATGTACATGCTAAAATAAAGCCAAGAAAATGATAAAAAGTATATTTCATAAAAGAATGATACGAACTATACTTAGAATTGGACTTAATTTGACTTAATTAGCTCAGGAAGTGGTGAGACAAAAAGTTAAGTGTATTCATCACGCATACAAGTAATGCATATTTAACCTTAGTTAAATTGCTATTTTTTAAAAGCCTCCTTTTTGTAAATCGGATCTCAGTGTAGTCTAATGTATGCAGTTTATGTCGTGTTTCACTGATTTTATAGCAGCTATTGTGGGAGTTTCCTACTGTAAAGATATCTTCAGAAATTGTGCTGCAGTGACTTCTGTGAGCTCCAGGTAGATGGCCATGCACGTAGAGTACATTCTGATAGTATAACAAAGCATGCAACTTTTTCTACAGTGAGAATAAACATATACTGCTAACGTCTTTAACATCTACCACTTTCTTTTTTCTTTTTTTCTTTTTTCTTTTTTTTAAATTAAGATATCTGTGGCATTCTATCATTAAAATGAAGAATAACAAACACATTTAAAATTCCTGTTGTTTCAATCTTTGAATGTTATGATTATTTGGAGGAAGTCAAGAGCATGGTTAGTATCCAGACAGTTACAGCAAAACTTGCTTAGGGAAACTGCTATTGGAGGGGGTGACTTATGTTATGCAAGTCTTTTTGTTAAAAAATATTTGTAAGACTGTATTGCTATATTACTGTAAAACATAAGTTAGGAAAAGTCCTTACTACTTCTTTATTAGATACAGATGGAAGGAAAATATTTGAACACAGGAGCATTCTTTCTAATAATGCTATGTTGCATCCTCATAATGAGAGTGTGGTGCAGAGGAAGTTTGCCTTCCACCTAGGCTTCTGACAATAGTCAGATATCAAACAAAAAATGTGGACGCAACTGTTGCAAATAGTGCGTATTTGCAAAACTCACCAGAGACAGATGGTTTCCCCTTAAGGCATTTAGTTTGTTCCCATGTAAAGGGCTGTTCTGATGATGCAGTTGATAATACTGTTTGATATTTTTTTTCTCATTGCATTTAGAGTATTTGTGCTCATAGTCAAATCACTGATATGATAATGAATGTTTTTGAAGATAAGTCTGAACAGCTCTTTGTGCTCCTTTGCAATTAATGATTTGTCCATGCCTTCTAATGAGCTGTAGAACTACTGACTATGGACACAGAGAGAGAGGCTCACAAAACTTACTTAATTGAGGCAGTGTAGGTATAGAATGGAAGAGGAAACATAATCTTAATCTTTCTCTATTTCTAGGCAAAACTTCAAGAAAATATCATTTCAAACAGTGTATTTTTTACTGCTTAGAATGGGAATGCCGCATTAGGATCTAAGGTGAAAAGTGGAACCTTATCCTGCCTTGCATAGGCAGATACTCTTCACTGCGTGGAAACTAAGCCTTCCAGTTCTGTCAGATGCCCACAGTCCTCTCATTGAAAAACATGCAACTCCTACGTACTGTTAAAAAACCAATTTATGCCTGTCAGGGTAAAATCTAGCAAAAATTACTTCTGTAGAGATGAGTAGATTTAGTAAGGCATCTGATCATTGTGATACACAAAATGTTATACTGTCATAAGCCTGCTGCAGAGGATAGCATAATGCTAAGCTTTTGCATGGAAATGCATTGTTTTCTTTGTTATAGTCAGCCATTATATTTCATCCGATAACATGCATTCTGAAGGCACTGGGAAAG